GAAAGATTTGATGGGAAAAACTATGCTAGTTGGAAGAGAAAAATAGGATATATCCTCTTTGAAGAAGGACTTGCCCAAATGCTTATTGATGACCCCCCAACTGTTCTAAGAGGAAATGCTCATGAAAGGCGGGTCGTAAGAGATGCTTGTGCTCATTGAGAGCGTAAAAACACTCTAGCGAAATATGTGCTACTTATGACCATGGATGACATCGATGCTCATAAGTATAAGCACCTGAAAACTACAAAGAGATTCATGAACGACTTGAGACCGATTATGCCTCACCTTCTCTCACTAGGAAGACAATGGCTATGAAGCAATATTCAGATATGAAGATGAAGGAGGCAAGCTAATCGAGCATATACAGCAGTTCAGAACTTTAGTTCGTGTAATCGAGGCTGCACAAGTTTAAGCCAAATGAAAACATGCATATCTGCCAGTTGCTGAATTTTATGCCGAGTTCATAGGAAAGGTTTATTTCAGGGCTTTCCGCAGGACTTTCCGCAAGGGAGAGCAATGCCGAAGTTGAACGAGATCATCACCAAACTTAAAGCCGATGAAAGGAGATTGTCTCGCGATACTTCAGCCTTGAATGACTCCGTAAATCTAGTAAACCTTAAACCAAACTCCAATTCATTCAAGAAGAAGAAGGGCAAACGCAAGAATAAGAAGAAAACGAATGAGAATCAAATGGGTAATACTGGGCCTAAGAAGAAGAAGGATTTTAAGAATACCTAGTACTACAACTGCAAGAAATTTGGGCACATTACTAAAGATTGCAAAGCACCCAAGAACGCGAATCCTAAGGGCAATAGGGAGCATGCTTGTGTGGTCCTTGAGAACATGCTAGCTGGCCCAAACGTAGGGTCATGGTATTTTGACTCAGGGTCCACTGCTCATGTGTCAAACACCAAGAATTGGTATAGAAATTTCAAGCCTGTTGCCTCTAATCGTCAATATACCTATACGGATGGGAATCAAAAAACTGAAATTCTTGGTATTGGAGATTTCATCCTTCCTTGAGAATGGAAAAAGCATGGTCCTAAAGCAAGCTCTTTATGCTCCTAAGATGAGGAAGAGTTTGATTTCAGTCACTAAATTAGCTAAGGTAGGCTACTCCGCCATTTTTACTGATAATAAGGTGGAGGTGAAATATGGAGATGAATTAGTCATGAAAGGTCATCTTGTAGATGGTTTCTTTTCAGTTGTAATAAAGAACTCAATTTCTTTTGTCTCGTGTTATAATGGTAATAATGATGATGCCTATAAATGGCACATGAGACTAGGGCACATATATCCTAAAAGGATGGAGAGATTAAAAAGAGAGGGATTAATAAATAATCTCAATGGAAACTTAACCACTGTGATTCATGTGTTCAAGGAAAGATGGTTAAGAAATCCCTAGCAAAAGCTCAAAGAGCTACTGGCATATTAGAAGTTGTCCATAGTGATAATTGTGGACCTATGAATATAGCCACTAAGGGCCCTAAGAGGTACTCTATCTCCTTTATAGATTAACACTCCCGTTTTGGCCATGGATATCTATTAAGTGAAAAGTCTGAAGCCCTAAACTAGTTCGAAGAGTATAAAGCCGAAGCAGAAACCCAAAAAGATAAGAAAATTTAAATTATTAGATTTGATAAGGGTGGAGAATATCACGAATATTTAAAGGATTATGTACTGAGCAAGGTATTATACATCAATATCCTATGTTGTACACTCCTCAGCAAAATGGGGTAGCTGACAGATGGAATAGGACCCTGATGGAAATGGTGAGTATGATGGGACATGCTGAACTCTCCCTAGATTTTTGGGGAGAAGCTATTTTAATAGTAAACTATATCCTTAATCAGACTCCCACAAAAGTTGTCCCTCTAACTCATGATATTTTCAATGGTCGAGTTCCATCCCTTGATCACCTCAGAGTGTGGGGATGCTCTGCCCATGTCCTAATACCCCATTTAAATAGGACAAAATTATATCCTAAAACTGTATGCCCATCTTTATAGGATACCCCCCACATGGTAAGGGATACTATTTTTACAATCCTGACACAGGAGCTGCCCTTGAGAGTAGGAATACTCATTTCCTTGAGGAAGAATTCCTCGAAGGTCGTGCCACTCTGAAACAAGCCAAGTTTTATGAGATAGAAAATGACACAAGGCCTTTGATCCCAATCCACGTTGTCTTAGGAGAAGTAACCGAATTAAGAGAGAACCTGAATTCTTCATCTACTAAGGAGCATATTATGAGAGAATTGAAGAAGAATCCCTACGTGAACCCTGTTCCCACCAAGAAGCCATAACATGTCATGAAAAGGCACAATGAGAAGAAGCTATGATTGATAAACTTAACTCGATTAAACAAAACAATGTTTAGGAACTAGTGAAACTACCTCCTAATATAAAACCCATAGGCTGCAAGTGGATTTACAAGAAGAAATTAAACTCAGAAGGGAAGTTGGAGAAATACAAAGCCAGATTACATGCTAAAGGCTTTCCCCAGAAAGAAGGAACAGCTTATGATGAGACCTTCTACCCTGTAGCAAAATTCCCTTCCATTAGAATCATAATAGCTATAGCATCCCATTTCAACTTCGAACTCCACCAGATGGATGTTAAGACTGCATTTTTGAATGGGGAGGTAAAAGAAGAAATTAATATGAGACAACCAGAGGACTTCGTAGAAAGGGAAAGGAAAATCTAGTGTGTAAACTCAATAAGTCCCTTGAAGGCAGTAAACAAGTATCAAGGCAATGGTACATTAAGTTTCAGGAGACCTTGTCATCTGTTGGTTTTGTGCCAAACCAAGAGGGCTACTGTGTAATGTCAAGGTCAGAGGAAATGACGAGGTTTTATCTCTCTATATGTGGATGACATGTTAATTGCCAGTAGTACGATGAGTCTCGTAATGGAGACAAAAGCTTTCTTATCACAGTATTTTGATATGAAGGATCTTGGAGAAGCATCATATGTCTTGGGAATCAAAATTACCCCGGACAGAAAATTCAATTATCTCAAGAAACATATTATAAGAAATTCTTGAAAGATTTGAAATGGAAATTCGCTAACCCATATTAACTCCCAATTGATAAGAAGACCAAGCTTAACCTAGCCATGTGTCCCTCTACTCCAAAAGAAAAGGAAGTCATGCAGAGAATTCCATACAAAAGTGCAGTTGGGTCACTAATGTATGTCACGTCAAGGACAAGACCAGATTTATCTTTTGTCACGAGTTTGATTAGCAGGTTCTAGAGTAATCCAGGCATGGAACATTGGAAGGCCATCAAAAGAGTGATGTGATATTTGAAGGGAACCGTAATTACTGACTCCTTAATGGGGGAGGCTCGGATATACAGATACAAGGATATTTAGATGCCAACTATCAGGGGGATACAGATGAGAGTAAGTGCACATCCGGATATATCTTCACACTTTTAGGTGGAGTTGCTTCTTGGTGCTCAAAGAAACAGAATATTGTGGCACTCTCGACTATGGAGTCAGTACGTGGCATGTTGTTTCGCAACTAAAGAAGCAGTCTAGTTGAAGAAGTAGAATAAACTAAAGATTTGATCCAGTGAAGTGCCCTTGTATCAAAATCTTCTGCGACAACTAAGAAGCTATTTGCGTGTCTAAAGAGTCACGGTTTCACAAGAAATCGAGGCCTATAAAGTCGTGATACTACCACATTTGCAACGAGATCCGAGAAGGTGAGATTCAGATTGTACATCTTCCGATAGATGCTATGTTAGCAGATCCTTTGATAAAATGATTGATGGCAAATGTTTTCTCCAAACGTATACATAGGATGGGCTTAAGAGAAAATAAGAGGGAGTGAATGTATGGCCTTCAAAGGCTAAGTGGGAAATCTTGGGTTTTGTGGCCTTTAAAGGCATAGAGAGCTTGTAAAAATGATATTTATAGTGGAATATGATATTTATAGTGGAATATACATTTCAATTGGAACTGTTACCGATGTTCGAAATCTATTAAGTCCGGATCTCCTCATTTATTGTTTCTATCCATCTCATGTTCACTATTGTTTCATGTGAACCTGGCTCAAGTTCTTTTATAACTTTTGTCAGAAAAACTTGATGTTCAATAGAAAGGGACTGATTCCTCACCCACCTTTGTATTGGATGCCGGGTGTGTGCTGATATCCTAGGTTTGTTTTGGGCTCCAATATCAAGGAGCTGCGAGGTACTACACATTCTTGATTCATTTTTTCTTGAGTATTGGCTGATATATCAGGCTATTCCTCATAGCCTCAGCTTCCTTAGCACAATATCCATTCTTAGGCTGTTATTTATGGCTGCTCCCTCTCCTTTCTTCCTTGACAGATATTAATGCTTAGTCATGACTTTCTTACTTTAATCTTGTTCAGAAAGCTAATATCTAAGAAGAGCTAATGGTTCATCATATAACAAGCAAATTGCATTGGTTACATCAATATTAACAATTTACTTCTTGGTCAGAACTGAAGATGCATATTGAACATAGGACCCTGACTATACTATCCATTCATTGGACTTTCATCCAAGCCATTATAAATAGGAAGCCTATGATCTTATGGTAATGGCAGTCATTCACACTGCAATGGAGCCTAGCATAAGCAATTGAACACATGAAATTCACCGACAAACACACAAACTACTTGGTAAATATTTTCAACAACTGTAGTTAAATATAAACATTTAAACATAAGAATAAATGAAGAAAATCCTAGACAGAAAATAGGCAACTCCTCCAAGATTTCCTCAAGGATGCAAATCATAAAACACCAAAGCTATTACTTTACGTTCACAGTAGATATTATGAAAAATAATAATTTACAATATGGAAAGAATACTAAGAAACAAAGGGCTCCAAATCATAAAATAAACTCATATGACATCAAAGTGAAAAGAATGCACATAATATGCACCTGATTAGAAGAACAGCGAAGAAAGATCAGCAATATGTCCACGGAATGATAATCTCATTTGTGTTCAGGATATATACCTTCAAAAAGTCACCACTCAATTCCTCTAGAAGTTGATATATCTACAAAAACACATAAAAGCTCTAAGATAGAAATTACTAAGTTATGTATAGAAAGGATTTTGGAAATAAGACGTTATACACATTATCTAAGAAACAAAGAGGTATCAAGGTAATTCCATCACTATGTGAAATATGTCCTTTCTCCTCACAAAGTCCTCAATTTTTTTTTGGACATTCAGCTGGGCCAAAGGCACACCCCAGCCATCTAATTTCACATCTGACAAGTAAGGTGGATTATGACTTCTTTGCACCCAAGTGTAAGCAGCCTCTTGTATTCTCTCTCTCTCTCTCTCTC